ATAACCCCTTTTATCCTTGTCTCTGCTTCTCATAGCTTTCTTCTTTATGAAGCACCATGTAGACTCCGTGTTGTCTCCCTAAATCATCAGTTTCAAAAAGTGGCCGAATTTAGGGCAAGTTTTCGCATCAAAATAAGTGAAAACATTGCGAAAATCCAGTGGCTTTCTTTTTGTTCTTTAGTTATTAAGTACCTAATTAGGTACTTAATAACAATTAATTGTCTAAAAATTGAAAACATAACGCGATTCTGTTTGCTTGTACAATATTAGGTCATAGTTAGGCTACTGACACAACCATGTCAGATATATGTATATGTATGTACCTATAACAAAGAATCAGGAAACATTGAGAAATAATCGATTCAAGTGCTGATTAGATTTGTGGAAACAGGCACGTAAATACACGAGATGGACCTGGCCTTTCAATGTGCAAGTTACGATTATAAGTATAGATTGAAAGCTTTTTCGGAAGTGAAAAAAAGTATCAGGCAGAGCAAGCATATGGCGGTGAATTTCCGAAGTCGGAGTAAGCCACGCAGTGTTTTGTTTTACATTGAATTTGTAAGATTAATTTGCTAACAATTTTATTTATGAAATGGGCAAGTGCAGATTTCGAAAATCACCAACCTCGACCGGTTTCGAGCCTAATTAGCTCGGTTCAGCCTGAAATTAGCGATTCCGAAGCGAACCCAGCTGATGAGAGCTAATAAGCTCGAAACAAGTCCTGCAGGCGCCTGAGGTTGGTGAATTTCGAAATCTGCATCTGCCCATTTCAAAAGCTCATGACGGCTCTGCTGATGGCGAAACCTTTTCGTTGTTCAATTTTGTTCAAAACTCACTTCCCGAGCCAAAGTTTTAATCTGTAAACGAGCAATCATTTGAAATTATGTTTATACCCATTCAAAAAAAATATAAGTAGCACCAAACAGCCCTAAAATGTGACCTAATTTGTTAATTTTTGCATTTCCTTTACAAAACCAGTGTGTTTGTTTAACTACCATCACATTGCTGAACTCATATAACGGTTTTGATAAATCTTGAATAAACAAAGCCAGTATGCAGAAATTATCCGAAACATTGCAGATTTTTCCCACACTTTATCCACATAATTATTCCCATTTATAAATCATTTGTTATTTGTTGCAAGCTGTTCCAGACACATCAAATCACCAGATTTACTACGGCTCTGATTATTTTGCTGGTACCTATAGTGATATTCGTTTCCTATGTTGAATTCAACGCGGATTCTTTGATAGAACCGATACATTTTAGAAGTAAGTATAGTTGCATTTTTTAACCTTTTTAGTATATTTTTGTGCTTTATTGGCCCAATCAAAATTATGTCAGATAATAGAGTGCATACTGAAGAACTATATATGCGTCGTATTGAAACGCCTTTTTAACTATAGCAATCTATTAACGCCAAATAGAGCCACTTGCAACACAAGCGTCTACGTATACGACACTTCTTGTCACTTCTATCGATTGCAGCGATTCGAACCAATCAAATAAGCCTACCGGTTTGTTGTTATCGAACGTATCGTTGACAAGTTCGACAAATTAGTTAAGACGATTTAAGGTTAGGTGAATTTGTTTAGTGTTTGATGATAATTATTTCATAAATTGTCGAGATAAACAACCGCAAGTCCGCCAATCATTTTTTTTTCATTCTCGTGATTTTCGAAACCTATATAAGTTCTAGATAAAAATGACAAACAAATAGTATCGTACAGCAATTCATAGGTAAACTTTATACGCTCTTGGCTAGTAATTTATAATTTTTTAAGAGGGATTGTTTGAATTGGTTGGAAGAAAAATAATAGCACTGCCATTAGCACAAAAAWRACAGACATGAGTATTTTTAAGTTGATAATAAATTATTAATAATTTACAAATGATTTATTCTAATCAGCCTMAATAGATATCAGATTTTTTGTATTCATAGAATTTAAATGAACAACTTAAACCATTAAATAAATCTCTTAAAAAGTTTGGCTTATTGTATAAATWTRWYAKTGTATATMTAAATTGCATATATAATTGCMTATATAMATTGCATATATAAATATGCTATTGTATAMATWTATATGGCTTATTGTATGAATTAGTACACTGTCAAATGACAGTGTACTAAATATCCTTACATTCATTGATACATKTATATGGATAGTTTTCAAATTAGTAAATACATTGCATAGATTTATTTATCGGTAAAACTTATAATAAATACCACCCTGTTTGTAATAACAAGTAAGAGTGCTTATCACATTAAATACTAAAAATGTAATAAAACAGTATTGTATTATTGCTAAAATATTTAAAATTTCTGATTACAAATCCTAGTATTTTATATGCCTGAAATAATGAAATTAATTTACATAGTATGTACTACCTACTAAAAGGTAGCACTACGTTGTCGGTCTTCCACTTTTGTTAGGATTGTGGAAAAAGGCAATTATTTTCATGTGTTGCTTAGTGTGACATGTGAAACAAAGTCCAACACTATATTAATAAAATCCAAAGAGATTACGGTTACAACAAAATACCGGGAAATATCACCTAACCTTAAATCGTCTTAAATCATAACAAACCGCTAAGTTCGAATCGCCGCAATCGATAGAAGCATGATAGAAGTGACAAGAACTGCCGTACACGTAGACGCTTGTACTTGCAACCACTTGTTCTCTAATCACTGGTGTTTACGTCT